CTATCAGTATTGACATTAGAACTACAACTACCAAAACTACCTGAATGTTCGTCTTCAAGCGTAACAAATATTGAATTAAAATCAATATCAAATTCATTAACAGATGATTTAACGCTTGGTATACTTAAATCTCTAGGTTTGCACATCGTAGGCTCAAAATAATTTATTTTTAGAATTTCTTCAAATTTTGCCATTGACCTTTCCTCTAGACTTTTACCTCAAGACGTTAGTTGAAACGCTTCTTTTTTATGGCGCTTTTTATGTCTTCATTTTTTCAAGACAAGAAATTTCAAGAGTCTTGCAAGACAAGACAAGACTTTGCCATTCAAGAAATCTGCAAGACAAGACTTTGAAAATTTCAAGACAAGACAAGAAATTGATTTTCAAGACAAGAATTCTTGTCTTGTGCAACACTAATCATAAACATTGTAATTTTTAAATTGCTTAAATAAATAACTGTATCGATTTTATTTTAATTAAAACAACTATGTTGTAAGTTAATATGTTTAAAAATACAGCTTGTTTTTCGTGCTAAGGAAAAAAATGTACATAGTTTAAAACTGTAATTTATTTTTTGCAAAAAACACAAACCGATTTTGAAAAAATGCCAAGAATGTCATGTTTGAGTTTAACAAATAACAACTGACCAGTTTTCTTTACATTGTCATTTTATCTGAAAATTATAGAACTTCGATTTATTTTGCTAATAAATCTTAATCAGTTTTACACCACTTCTTGACATTTTTTAAAAATAATTGGTGAATAATATGGATATGTAATTGCAATATGCATAACATGCAGTAACTGCAACTAACATATTTGGCACAATTGATAATCTAATCTATGAATGATATTCTTTACATAAGAAACTAAGAAGAAATTTATATTTATTTCTCATTATTTTATCATCGTATTTGTCTAGAAGTGATGAAATACTACTTCATATTTTACTTTACAATTTTTTAATTCACAGATACATACTAAATAAATTTACAAATATTTATTGTCTGTATACGTTATGTGTGTAGTTATAGTACCATATGATCGAAAAAAGTCGGTGTTAGAGATGGATGGCGAATGACAATCGCTGATAATTTGGGCGAGGCTAAGCCCTAGACGTCATTTATTCTCTGTTTTTTTTTATCAGGTAAGATTTCGACAGACGATGACAGAAAAAAAAGCATATGACGTCCATTATACCAATCCATTTATTTATCTAAAAAAAGTTTCTAATATTTTTTAAGTTAGCTATGGATGGGTTTATGGGTCAAGTTTCGTTTAGCCGAAATCTGTTAAAAAAGAAAAAACAATTTTTTTGTCATTTAGGTACCTCAGGCAGTATATTACTGAAAAAAATTTGCCGCGGAAACGCGTCATCATTTTTTGAATGCGGTTTAAAAGTAACGAAATGACATACATGAAAAATTAATGTTATTTCATATTTTAGACGCCTTTGTAAATACTAATACATACACAAGTAACGAAATGGGATATATAAAAAACTAATATTATTTTATATTGTAGACTTATTTTTAAGCACCGATACAAAAATGAAAATCCGCGGAAATGCCTTGTTTCACCACTATGCAGTGATCTTCTTCCCGACCTTTGACACAGATCAATGAATATTATCTATTCTTATCAACTTAATATCGCAATGGTCAACAAATGCGAAAATTTAAAAAAAAATTGTCAATAAAGCATAAAAACGACAACTAAACCAAACCAACTAAAACCAAACCGAAAGTATGCAAAATAGTTGAAAATACTATGGAAAACTTAATATTGAAGATTTTCCATTACACCGCCCTTATGATAGATTTCCGCGGAAATAGTTATATAGAAAAGTTATAGCAAATTATTAATCAAACAAAAATATGTAGTTTTTATCTTCCTATCACATTTCGGCACTTCTAAACCCGGAAAAATCAATGAAAATTATTGTGATAAAAATATATTTTCGAATAAAAATTAGATCACATTGTCATATTAAATGTTTTTACGTCATTCTATAATGAAAAAAACTATTAAAAACACCGTAAAGTTTCAAATTTTAGTTAATAATAGAAAAATTAAAAATTCGAGTTTACTCAAAAGCAAAGAATTTCCGCGGCAAAAATCAAATTATGTAATGCTAGTTTTCTTGTATAGAATCATCCTATAAACCGATATTCTATATAACTGATTTCGGCTAAACGAAACTTGAGCCGGGTTTATATATAAATCCATGATGCGTCATCTCTTGTTGTTTTTAACCAGTTTTATTGGTTTATTTCAAAAATGGCAGATTCAATATTATTGGTTTGACGGAACGATGAACGACAAATGGACACCGATGCGTATGAACTCGACTTAAGATTTTTGAGAGTTGTCAAACTCTTTCCAAATTTGGTTATATTTTTGTGTCAAATTATGTCAAATAGAAATGATAAATATTTTGCATTTTGGACTGTGTTATTACGCGTGTTTCGTGTTTTTTTTTAATTAACTGGAGAAAAACTCGAGGGAAAATTATGTGTTGACCCAGGCCATAGTTTACAGTTAATATTCGGTGCCCAGAAACCGCCAGAGATTATGGCCAGAGAGTTGTATTAGCCACAAATAAAGTTTGTATACCATCTCGTTTATGGTACCAAAAACTGAAGTATCTGTAAAATATCAGCCACACTATAGGTAAATAATAAATAAATTTTAGTACTGGCAGAGAGATAATGTCAATAGATATTGGTTTACAAAAATTAAAATTAAAGTTAATTAACCAACTTTTAAGGTATAAAATTCAGTAAGTGTTATTATTAATAAAATATTTTGTTTTATTCATGTTGTATTTTATTTATTCCTTTACAATATCATTTTTTTAAATTTTTTTTCATAAGTTATATTGATAAATGTAACAATAAATGCAGGAAGTTGCTTGAGCTTGAAATACAGATTGAATTCAGGAAATCTTTTATATCTTTTTTTAGTATGTGGTGTTTTTTTTTTAAATACACCCTTGCTTGTTTTGTATTAACACGTACTCTAATTGTTTTTAATAAAATAACTCGATTAAATTTTTTCAATTTTATACAGCTTTTTTCCACAATATTTTGAAGTAATCACTTGTCACTCAAATTTTAAATATATTAATTTTCGGCTATGCGTTCTTACTGATTTCTTTGTAAAATAAAATAAACTACTTTGAAAATAAAATGACAGACACATCTATCACTTTCAAGGATCTTGTGGTTGAACAGACTATACTTGACCTTACTCTTTATTTTTAATGACGCTTACTGCGAGTAGACATAAGAAGGTTGTAATTTATTTTATATTGAGTAAAATTTTTAAATAATATGGTTTAAAATTCTAGAAAAAAATTTTTTTCGAAATAGATTTGTATGTCTGGAAACGTTCTATCCTTTTTTATTTTTTCTATAATGATTAGTATTAATTTCTACAAGTTTTATGCCAATTTTTAGTAAATAACGTTTAGAGACTCGCCAAAATTATCACCGATTGTCATTTCCGAGCCATCTTTGACGCCTTTTTTTTGGATCATACGATATTACTAATATATTTATAGAAACGTGTGTTAGTGTTTGAAACTAAGTAGAGCGAAGATATCAAAGAAAATTACATTTCCATCCATATGTACCGTAAGTTTTTTTAACATACTATAGCAGACTAAGAGACTACTATTTTAGCATGTGTGTCTCTGAGTGATAGTGATTATTTAAAATTAAAAATATTCCTAGAATTAGTGATACATTCGCAGAAGTAATGATAAAGAAATTATTGAATCTTGACCACAAAACACGCAGTTGAGCAATACTTTTCAATAGGAGAATCCCAAGGTTATATTAGTTAGCATTTTAAAAAAAATGTAATTCTTATAAACAAGATAGTCTCCATGCTCTTTGTACAACTATTTAAACTTTGCACGAGCCAGGGTTATCTAAAACTAAGTTGTTGAAATCTGAAACAATCGGTTGAAATGATTCCATAATACAGTGGAATCGTTATGAAGATGATATAATAAAATCAAACCTTCGGGACAGGAAAAAAGATAGTTTAACGATAAAAATTGTATACAAAAAATAAGTACCTATCTGCTATTCTACAAAATATACATAAACTATAGGAGAAACGATCTAGCTAGAAAAGGAGCAAACACTCCACTATAACTAGACCAAAACAGTTCTGCTTTCCAAGCCGAAAAGAGCTTAAAGAACTCAAGAACCTGAAACACCCCATCCGTCCTGGAATGGGAATCCATTCCAGATTTGGAATTTTCAAAATTTGGAATTTTTTGAAAAAAAATTTGGATTTTTTTTTAGTTTTCAGTTAAAAAACATAATTTCTTGATAATATGGCAACATAGGTAGTAGATTAAATTTAGAAGAAGGAAAACGCAGAAAAGCTCTGGTGGCTCTCAAAATTTAAGCAAAAAATCATTTTTTCTAAATTGTTAAAGTAAAATAACTCGGTTATTTTGGAATCATTTGAAAAAACGGTAAAGAGAAAATATATTTTTTTATCGAGATCCACCAGCTCTGAAAATATTTGCACTTATTTAAGACTCACACTGTATATTTAAAAATATTCATGAAGTGTGTGTCACTAATACCTACTCAAGTTAAAAACTGAAATAGGATTACTGATACGGAGCTTTTTTGGATATATTACAACTTTTCGCTTGAAACACCCTGTGTATTAATGGCTGCCATTAAGGTTTTTTCAATTAGGAAATTATTTTCACGGCAACGCGAATTAGAAGGGTTAATAGTTTGTTAACAGCTGCAATTTAGTTTCAAAGTATCTATCGAAACAGACTACTCCATAACCACAGTGATGATGCATTTTGTGTTCATTGGGGCATTTCTAACACAGTCTTTACCATTAAGTATTTTGGCAAGAGCTACTTTATAGATTTCCCCTTGTTTTATGACTAATACACTATAAAAAAAATTTAGCTATAAAGAATGAGTTTGCGTTACAATAAAATTTACTTGTTACAGATGAATATACACGAATCACAACCCCCAGACAAGACGTTCTATTTAAGAAGGGTTACTTGAACAAACCGAAAAGTTACCAAAGCCAAACGTCCACAGGCAACTCGACAATATCGACAGGGTATTCCACCGAAAACGGAACACCTGATCACCAATCCACAGGTAAGGAACAATTAATCTATGTACATGTAGCTAATATTCTTAATTTCTTTAACAACTTACGCTTATAACATGTCAATGTCTACTATCCACTATAATTTTTGTCAAATATTGTCGCTTTAAGCTATAAGGAAAAAATAAAGTACATATATAGGTACAGGGTGTCCCAATATTCCGTGGACGTAGAATTCTTACGTATTTTTGAAATCATAATACGTTTATTGGGCACAATTTACCTCTATACAAAAGTGCTTCGTTGGTCCACTAGAGGGCATCAAACTTTAGAAAAATAAACACATTTTTTAAGATATTTTAAGAACCGCTATTCCGATTCTATGTCGATTCCAGTGATGCCAACTCGTGGGAAATTTCCCGATTCGTGGGAAATTTCGAGATCCAGAGGGAAAAGGGAAATTTTAACCCAAAACACTATATTCGTGGGAAATTCTAAATAAAGTTGTCGTATAGGAATTTCTCAACAAAGTGAGTAAATTCAAACTGGCATTACCGCAACTAAATACACCATTTTCGGTTGGCCTCAGACATTATTCTTATACCTCTTGAATATGGTGAATTTTAAATATAAGTGCAAATATTTCTAAGGATGGAATATTTCGATCCCAGGAACACGCGTATAAGTTTTTTTTTGCGCGAAAAAAAATTGAAAATTATATTTCGAAATTTGTTTAGAACATGTTAAATTCTCAGTTAAAAAACTTTACCTATACCTGTATTGTGTTGACCCCCCCCCCGACACTATTATATTGACGACACTATACAGGGTGCTACAAATTCGAGGTACGAGCATTGGTATCTCGGAAACCGTAATAGATACGAAGATGGTTAAATTGGGGTAAAGTTGCGCCTTGGGCTGTTCACCAAGATGCCATCAAAAAAGTTTTAAAAATTTCAAAGATTGCTGAGTTTTTTTGAAAAAACGGATTTTTTTGAAAACTAATTTTATTTTTTCCTGTCGTTACTTTTTAGAAAATCAAAAAACTAATTGCACATTCTCATAGCCACTTTATTAGGGCAATCTGATAGTATTTTTATATTTTCAAATTAGCTGATAATTTGTAAGGTACAGAGGCTAACTTAATTTTTTTAAATACGGACCTGCATTTTTTATTTCAGATTTTTAAAGAACTCGCTCTCCTGAGTACAATGATATGCCACACTTTATACTTTTTTTTTGTTTTGGGTACCTTAACAGCAACAAAACTATTTAACTATTATTTTAAAAATACTCTACTCCGACTGTGTTTTTTAAATTATTTAATCTGATTATCATTGCAACAATATTGATTAGTGCTAATTAACATTGAATAAGAAAAATTAAGCCAATTGAAAGATTCAAATAAATAATATCCAGATCAGCAATTTAAAGATATTATTTTTAACTTTTTTTATTGTGAACTTGAAATACTCAGTGTACGATCTAAAAATTTGCATAATATTAATCGTAGTTATTATGAATAAATTAACTTCTACAAACTAGTTTCTAATGCTCTACATAGTCTACATGTTCGAAAGGGTTACCACCCTCCCTATTGCACAAATTTATTTTTCGTTCAATTTTATTTATAGCTTTTGAATAGATCTTCTTCTTATACTTTCGAATGCATTTTGTACTCTTTATTGTAACTGCTGAGATGTGTTGATTTCACTTTTTTTGTAAAATTTGGACCTGTCGAATTACTTGACGTCATCAGACGGTCCAGGAACCTCGCTGGCCATTATACTGCTCTACCATTTCCAATCTATCTTCCGTGGAAATGATTTGATTGTTTATATTACATTTTATTTATATTATTTTTTATTATTTTATTGCATTTGATTTTTGGTATTCAACCCACGTCACTGTTAAGTTTAAAAGCTTATCAATATTGTAACGATGAATATATAAAATATTAAAAAAACAGAGCCGGACTTGAAATTAGTTTAAATAAATTGTGTCCAAATTTCCAAAACAAAAAATATATTAGGTGTGGCATATCATTGTACTCAGAAGAGCGAGTTCTTTCAAAATCTGAAATAAAAAATGCAGGTCCGTATTTAAAAAAATTAAGTTGGCCTCTGTATCTCACAAATATTATCAGATAGCCCTAATAAAGTGGCTATGAGAATGTGCAATTAGTTTTTTGATTTTCTAAAAAGTAACGACAGGAAAAAATAAAGTTGATTTTCAAAAATATCCGTTTTTTCCAAAAATCAGCAATCCTTGAAATTTTTAAAACTTTTTTGATGGCATCTTGGTGAACATCCCAAAGCGGCAACTTTGCCTCAATTTAACCATGTTCCTATCTATTACGATTACCGAGTTACCAATGCTCGTACCTCGAATGTGTAGCACCCTGTATATTGGATTTGAGAACTCGTGAGAATTTTTAGAAAAAACGGGAAATTTTGACCGTCTCCGTGGGAAATTCTATTTCAGAAAGTTGGCAACACCGGTCGATTCTACAGTATGTACCCGGATTGCCTTTACAAGTGGAAAACTTTTTTATTATTGACATTTTGAGAAAAATGCATCCTTCATAAAAAATCCAAAAGCGCAACTTTGCCCCAATTTAACCATGTTCGTATCTATTACGGTTACCGAGTTACCAATGCTCGTACCTCGAATTTGTAGCACCCTGTATATTGGATTTGAGAACTCGTGAGAATTTTTAGAAAAAACACGAAAATTTTGACCGTCTCCGTGGGAAATTCTATTTCAGAAAGTTGGCAACACCGGTTTACAAGTGGAAAAACTTTTTTATTATTGACATTTTGAGAAAAATGCATTCTTCATAAAAAAAAATTCTTGTTCTAAAATAGTTAATCCCGTTTATACTTTCCCAAATTTCCCAACCATTTTGGAAACCAAAATTAAAAAATGGTGAAGATATGGTGAAAAGTCCTAAATATTAAAACGCGTTTCTATATAATAGTACATAATATAATTTCGATTTCACTCTTTGATAGATGGTTCAACTGGAAAAAAAATGGAAAGAATTCAACTATATTTTCATGTTTTTTTTAATTGTCTCTAAAAAGGTATGGACGTTTTGAAAACTATAAACGGGATCCATTGGTTCTCAAAATTTAAGCAAAAATATTTTTTTAATTTTCAAAGTAAAATAACTCGGTTATTTTGGACTTATTTGAAAAACGGTAAAGAGAAAATATATTTCTTTTATCAAGATCTACCAGGCCTGAATATTTGCACTTATTTAAGATTCTGTATATACAGGGTGTCCCAGAAATAAGGGCAAGTATTTTAACTGCTAGTATAATTCAACCCCAGAAACACGCCTATTCGGAAATTTTTCAAAAAAATTTTGGAATTTTTTTTTAGTTTTTAGTTAAAAAAAATAATTTCTTGATAATATAGTAACATAGGTAGTAGATTATTTATTATTATTATTTAATTATTATATTATTTAATTTACAAGAAAGAAAATCCAGAAAAGATCCAGTGGTTCTCTAAATTTTAGCAAATAATTATTTTTTTTAGAAATTTTCAAAGTAAAATAACTCCGTTATTTTGGACTTAAAAACTGTATAGTAGACTTATATATTATAATAAGCTTATTATATTATAATAAGCTTATTATGTAGTTGTTCTATGTTCACGGAATATCGAAACTCACTGTATATTTTATAGGTCCGCTTTGGAAAAAAATATTCTCCAATTTTTTTTTTCAAAAACTAGGCGGTATGGCATTTTTTACAAGAGACAAAAAATGTAGTAAATACCAGAAGGGCTATTAAACAAAAAAAAACTGTCAAAAATTAATAAAACGAATTAAACTGTTCATAAAATATTCCAAAATGACACAGACTGTGAATCTACGTAAACTGTAGGAACTTATTTAATAAATGTTCGCATAGAACTGTAGAATCAAAATCACATCTTAAATAATTGTTCTGAATTGTAAACAACAGCTGTAGTTATTGTAAATACATAAGTTAGACCGCAGATTATTTTATGCTGTGATTTTATGTTATTGCATAGTAGGTACAAATTTTCAAGTGAAAATCGTTTCATGAAATTATATTAATGGTCAGTAATTCTGCCAAACTTCTGTTCAAGGCTTCTAAAAGTACACTAATTTGAATGTCAATAAATCATCTACAGTGACACAGAAAAGTATTTAAATATAATTTTGCACGTCCTATAGAAATAATAAAAATTTATTTTGATATTTTAAACTAAATTTAGGCGCTTAACTAAATTTTATTGCAGTATTTCAATATAATAAAAAATTGCTGATGTTAGAAAACTGGACTGTGAAGTGAGTAGAAAAAATAATTGTGTTCGAGGAGAAAGGGGAAACGAAAAAATAATCACTTCCGTTAGAAAGGTGGGGGTACTGACTGTAAACGACAGAATACCACGTAAAGTGAATAAATCAGTTGTGAAAATTCGTTGTTCGTTCAGAACGAAAGAATACATCTACAGTTCATACCAAATAAAATTTTAGTCACGTGATTAAGAGTCCATTTCGCTAGTCCGAAAAAGTAACAAAATAAGCGTTCGGCATTTAACGTTTTATGTAAAACTGGCTAGGTATTTTTACACAAATGAAGAAGGAAATTAAAGATAAAGGATTATACTATATCCGTATTGTAGGATATTTTTAGACAACTTCTTTATTCTTAGGATTTTCATGGTCAAACATCAACCAAAAATTGCTCGCTATTTTATGGCAAATGCTGAAGCTCTACAAACCTTAATCAAGCCTTAATCAAAGTACGTGAGTTTAGAATTTTGAGTGTGGCTTAACATTAACATCGGGCTAAGCCTTAGGCAGATTTCTGAAATATAATATATATTTCCTTCGGCCACACATCTTTTTACCCGACCCCTGAGAGCGACCCGAAAGTACAGCGTAATAGACTCTTAAGGATGCTTCACGCTATACCGTAACGGGTCCGAGCCGTGCGTGGGTGAAGACACGGCCAAACATTGTCAAGTGTTCTTTACACATATACATTCATGCCAGGCCGAGCACGAT